ACTACTACTACTACTACTACTACTAACACTAGTAGTACAACTGCAGCAGCAACAACCACAGCAATGGCCGACAACAAAAATCGCGGCAGCAGCAGCAGCAACAGCAACAACCAGAAAACAGCACCATACAGCAACAACAGCAACAGCAACAGCAACAACAAAACCAACAGCAGCAACAACAACAACTCCAAACATAACTGCAGCAGCTGCAGCAACGGCAACAACCAAACAAAAAAGAAAAAGCAGCAACCACAACACCAATAGCAACGGCAGCAGCAGCGGCAATATTTTTTGGATTTGTTTTTGTTTTGTTCTTTTGAACCTGAATTAAACGCTCAAACCAGCAGAGCGTGAAAGTGTTTGTCTACATCGTTGTTGGCGTGAAGAGTCTATGTGTAAGCCGAGTGCTTTCGGTTTACAAATAGCGGGTGTAAAATTTCTTTTTCACATAAGGGTTAATATGAATGGAATATATCCACAAAGACCAGGTGTGAAGGGGTGCTGTCCACACACATCCTGGTGTGAAGAGGACCTGTCCACAGCCATTCGGCGTGAAGGGGCCCTGTCCGCGACCAGCCGGTGTGAAGGGGCCCTGTTCACAGACATCCGGTGTGAAGGGGCACCGTCCACGGACAACCTGGTGTGAAGGGGCCCTGTCCACAGACATCCGGTGTGAAGGGGCCCTGTCCACGGCCAGCCGGTGTGAAGGGGCCCTGTTCACACCCGTCCGGTGTGAAGGGGCACCGTCCACGCACAGCCTGGTGTGAAGGGGCCCTGTCCACAGACATCCGGTGTGAAGGGGCCCTGTCCACACCCGTCAAGTGTGAAGGGGCCCTGTTCACACCCGTCCGGTGTGAAGGGGCACCGTCCACGCATAGCCTGGCGTGAAGGGGCCCTGTTCACAGCCATTTGGTGTGAACGGGCCCTGTCCACACCAGTCCGGCGTGAAAGGGCACCCTCCACGCATAACCTGGCGTGAAGGGGCCCTGTTCACAGCCATTTGGTGTGAAGGGCCCTGTCCACACCCGTCCGGCGTGAAGGGGCACCCTCCACGGCCAACCTGGTGTGGAGGGTCCCTGTTCACACATGTTTGGTGTGAAGGGTACCGTCCACGCACAGCCTGGCGTGAAGGGGCCCTGTCCACAGCCCTCCGGTGTGAAGGGGCACCCTCCACATACAGCCGCATAGCCTGGTGTGAATGGTCCCGCTCCACAGCCCGTTTGAATGGACCCTGTCCACATCCGTTCGGTGTGAATGGGCGACACGCCTGGCATAAAAGGGGCACTGTGCACAGCTGTGAAGTGTGAAGAAACACTGTTCACAAACAGCCCGATGTGAAGAAAACCTCTTCACAGCCCTCCGATAAAAAAATACTATTAATAATAGTAATACAACTGCAGCAGCAACAGCCACGACAATGGCCAACAACAAAAATCGCGGCAGCAGCAGCAGCAACAGCAACAACCAGAAAAGCAGCAGCAACACACACAGCCAAAACAACACCACACAACAACACGAAACAACAACAAACAATAACAGCACCATACAGCAACAACAGCAACACCAACAGCAACAACAAAACCAGCAGCAGCAACAACAACAACAACAACAACTCCAACCATAACTGCAGCAGCAGCAGCAACGGCAACAACCAAACAAAAAAGAAAAAACAGCAACGACAACATCCATAGCAACAGCAGCAGCAACAGCAGCAAAATGTTTTGGCTTTGTTTTTTTGATTTGGTCTGTTGTATGAAACGTTCAAACCAGCAGGGCGTGAATGTGTTTGTCTAAGTGCAGCAACAACAGCCACAACAGCAACGATAGCAATAACCACAGCAAACAACAACAGCAACAAACAAGTTGATAAAAAAACCCAACAACAACAGCAACAAGAAGAACCACACCACCAACAACAACAACAACAACAACAACAACAACAACAACAACAACAACATGAACAAGAAGAAGAACAACAACAACATCTACTACAGATACTTCTACTACTATACTAGACTACCAATAATAATAACAATACAACAATGATACTGCTACTACGACTACTACTAATGCTACTGCTACTACTACTACTGCTGCTACTACTACTGCTACTACTACTACAACTACTACTAGTATTACTACGACTACTACGACTACTACGACTACTACTACTACTACTACTACTACTACTACTACTACTGCTACTACTACTACTACTACCTCTACTACGACTACTACTACTACTACTACTACTACTACTACTACTACTACTACTACTGCTACTACTACTACTACTACTACTACTACTACTACTACCACTACCACTACCACTACCACTACCACTACCACTACCACTACCACTACCACTACTACTATTGCTACTACTACTACTACTACCACTACTACTACTACCACTACTACTACTACTACTACTACTACTACTACTACTACTACTACTACTACTACTACTTCTTCTAGGAAAAAAAAGGACACAGGTTAAGGACGCAGATGGGTACGTTGGGTGAGGGACAAGGCTACCACTACCATTTCGATCATTATCATGACTACTGCTGGCAACACTGCTACACTACTACGATTCCAAATACTGCTGCTCTAATACCACTTCTACGAAGATTCGATGTCGGTTCTGAAAGTAACCAACCATTGGTAATTGATCACAGCCTTTCTCCCTGCCCCTACACCCAACAAACCTTTTGTTCGCGCTTCAAGACTGAACCGTAACTCAAAACCTGGAGACCTAGAAATCCAAATCGTAGAAATCCTGGGGTTTCTGATACTCCAGAACTAAGTTCCTGAATTGTGAAACCCCAGAACCAACACCCCAACATGAAACTGTACGAAACCCACGCCCTGAGCTTAAGATCCTGGACAAGGAATGGCTGAGCCCAGAGCAAAATCTGAAAGATCTTAGGACCGAACGTCCGAATCTTAATCTCCAGAGCTTCTGAACTCGAGATCCCAAAGCCCTGAAGTGTTCTGAGCCGTCCAGCCAAGTCTTCTTCGTCCCTGTGGCAACGGTGGGCACCCAAAGTTCCGGAGTGCCACGGGCTGCGGGGTTTAGTTTAGGGCGTCTGGGGTTTGGAGGATTGAGTAACTACAGCAACTTCCAGGGTTGAGTATGTCCTTGCATATGGGTTTGAGGATGCAAACAACCTCGACCTCAAACCTCCTCAGCGAACTCCCTTGCAACGGATCAAGCCGACCCCCAAAACCGTTACACTAGCCCGCACTAGCCCGTGAGCCCTAAACGTCTAAACCAGTCCAAACCAGCCCTAAACCTACAGCCCTTAAACAACATGGCAGGCTCGCAAATAAAAGCGCTAATGCTAGCCACCCCCGGGACTGCTCGGACCCTTCGCTGAAAGAACAGGAAGTATCGTCGGATTTGGTACGTAGGCTTTTGCTTGGGCTAAGGACGGCTAAGGACTAGAGTTGACGGAAGACCTTGGAACAAAGTGAGAACCAAAAATGTGCCATCAGAAACAAGTCTGCGCAGCCCATACCCAAAACATATCGGCAAGCATGTACCTACATGTAGGCCGGCCAGGTAATCGTAGGTCATTTGTAAGGATGGATACGATGCTGCGGGTCCGTGGTATAAGGCGGTTCCGGCTTGGAGGATGTAATTCTGGTGAGGTAACAGCCAAGCACAACGGTGACAAATGCGCAACTCTACCCCACGGAACACAAGCTCTGCAAAACTTTCCAACTCCAAGCCCCCATCAATGATCGAAGCCTTGCGGTGCAAGCTTCAGGCGCCATTAAACTACATGACAGACAAATGACCCCAGCTTCTGTGAGAACATGCCAATCCTCGGGTACATGGCCTCCGGACCGAATAGGTCCCGCTGGCATGCAACCTTGCAGGATCTGTTTTGTCTTTGTTCGGAAAGACAAAGACAAAAGAGAGATGTGAGATGGGACCACCAAAAGAGCGGGAGGGAGAGACAGAGAGAGAGTGACTGCGATGGAACAGACAGAGAGACAGACGGCAAGCAGACGAGGGACACGAAGCACCGGGACAGATAGAAAAGGACAGAAACAGTGTAACTGTAACACAGAAGGGAAGTGCGCAGGGCAAGAATTGGAGAGAAGAGAAAGGGCGTGTTTAAGTTTATAGCGGCCTTCGTCAGTGTGCTTCTTCTGTGTCTACACTGGATGTTGCACAGCATACTACGCAAAGTATACATCGTCCTTCTTGTCATGTGCTGAACCGGCGCTCAAGGTTTGGTTTGGCGCTGAGAGCAGAACCGCGCCGGGCAATCTCAGGATAACCTGTGCGCGAGGACAGAAATAGCTCATGGCAACCCAGCTCTGTTTTAAACATCGGTGTAGGATTCGGTACGAAGCTTTTGCAGATTGGTCAGTTAGCTGCATGGACATGGCCAGCTCATGTTGATGCAGATCTGTGCTGTCCCTGCCTGACTCGCGACAGCTCGTGCAACGCCAAATGGCACAACGGACACGGAGCAGGAATCCTGCGACATGATATAGACTGGACTGAAAGTAGAAGCTGAGTACAGAGTACAAGGGACATGCTGTTAGACTATCACGAAAGGCAAAGCTTCAATCTAAAAACACACTTAGACAAACCTTCGAAACTTCGTAACTGAATCAAGACCACCGTTTGCAAATCCCGGTCCTGGAAGTGTGCTCATACTCAGTTGTGCTTGGGGGACATGGCACGAACGGCCGCATAAAACGTGGCAATGCATACAGCGCACGTGCCGCATCCGGTGTGCACATGGCCGTTCGCTTCGTGGGGGTCTGCGCCACAAGACTTGAAGCACATGCTGGGTGCCATCGCAGGAGGCAGAGGGTGCAGGGCGCAGCATCGCAAGGCTGCTTGCATTTCGGACACTTGCCGCGAAGCTTGTTCCGCCTAGATGCCGCAGATGGGTCCTGTGGCAGAAGACACAGACATGAATTCCACTGATTCCTGCTCCCTGCTAAAACGAGTGCACTAAAGGTAAGAAAGTTCAGAAAACCTGCTCCTCGTTGGCATAGGAACATATCATCCGAGTCAGCAAAAGCAAACGCTGTACTTCAGGAGGCAATTCGTCACGCATACCACCTTTGTACTTGCGACTCTGTGCTCCAGAAGCATGCACCAGGTCTTCGTGTCTTCCAAGAGGAAATTCATGCACTGGCACAGCCGCTCCGAACAGATGTGGTGGTGCATACACGACGCGATTTTTCGCATCCAGGCGCACAGTGCGTCCCAAGCGGCGACTGGGGTCAGTCCACTTCACACATATAACTTCGAAAGCTTCGCAATCATCATCCTCTCCCTCTCCAGACTCAGTGAAAGCAACTGCTGGCGCAGGCCTGGTATCTTTTGGGATTGTCACAAGCAATGAAACTTCGTCGTTGTGTCCTGCACCACGAGCCAGCCGCTGGTCGCGGTCCGCAAAGCTTTGCAGGGTAGAAGAAACTGATGCTTCCCATGTTTCTACAGCCTTGCGGTTGGCGCGTGATTCGCGCGCATCAGCCAGACCTGCTGAGACCACGCCACTGTCAGCTGCACTGGCCTCACTCCCAGCATCTGATTCGGTCGCCGGTTCCGGCAGCAGTTGTTGCAAGAAGGCTTCATCATCTTCAAAGCATCTGGATTTCCGTCGGCCCGAAGCCGTGGAACGCCGAGCCGTGCTTGCATGGACCAGGACGTCCAGCTCGTCGTCCTGTCCCCTGGCAGAACTAGCCGCCGACTTCTCGTTCTGCTTGCGGATCAACATGAGTAGCGCTTCCTCTTCAATTTCTTCCTGCGTCAATGCAATCCCCGAAGACGAAGAAGTGTGCATGGAGCGCACCAGCTCTGCAGCATCATCGAGCAATTGCAAATCATCGCACCGAATCTGTTTCGTCTCTTCTGGGACGTGTCTCTTCCTCTTCTTTGTTCCGTCTGAAGCAGAGGGTGCAGCTTGGCGGATTGTCTCACATGCCTCAGCCGCAGTTGCCGCAACATCCAGTTCCTGTTCCAGTGCGTCGGCGTGAGACTTCGATTCTGCGATGTCCTCCCCATCACCAAAAGTGTAGCCGTCTGGGATTGCTCCATCGGGAGCCGCAATGTCGTCTTCCAGAGCCTGCATGCAGCACCCCAAACTACCTGAAAACAATTAAAAACATGTGTTTCCAGAAAAAGTGCGATCACTTGGCTGCCAAAAGCAGGCCTCTGCACCCATGCTTCTCGACAAGCCATCTGCGGTTCGTTGCACCTCATGAACCGGCTCATGCGACAAGATATGCTGGAAAGGACTCACCTGAAGATGCAGACTCTGCTTGTCTGAAGAAGCAGTCTGCGCCACGCACGCAAGCCCGCCATCGGTGTCATGCACAGCGCAGCTTCGGAAGACCCGATATATTGATGGGTCCACCTCCTGGAAGCAGGCGCCGTGACACCCCCGCAGCAAAGTGACCGTGGAGGTGAAATGCATACGTCCGGATCGAAAACGAAGCTTGCCATCCGAATGCGCTTCCAACTCTGCAACTGTCAAAACGGAACGATACGAGCACGCCCGCACAAAAACACGCAGAGCTTCTGGTTGTTGCGAGTCTTGCAGGCAAAACACTGTGAACCCAGCTGCCGCAGCAGCTTTGCTTCGCGCGCATGTGCCCTTTGGGCCCAAACAGCCCCACTCCATCTCCAAAGCTTTCTTGAGTTTCGAGGCCTGGGATCCAGCCCAGCGAGTGGCGACTGTGGGCTTCAAGTCTGGAAACGCGACAGCCAAGTTCGTGTTGGACAAGGAAGTCTCCATGTCTTGCAGTGTCTGTCGCACCGGTTGCTCGTACCGGTGCGCGGCATCAAGGACTGCTTTGTACTCGTGCGCTGCTTCTGTCAGCTCCTGCAGAAGCGGACGGGCAAAGGCTTCGACCGCGGTCCAGCGCTTTCGGTTTGCCTCGCTGGCGGCGTCCATGCATCCGGTAACAGCCTTCTTGCAAGTCAGTCTTGCAGAAAGTGTGTGCAAATCCATGGAAGGACATCGCGTGCTGACGAAGCGCACGATTGAGTTTATGGATTCTACAAGCTGCGTGTCGCCGTGCAGGAGTTCCGCAAGGGTGTTGACTATTGAATACAACAAAGACCCTTTTGGATGTGCATGAAGCTGGAAGCTGCCTTCCGAGGCCATGTGCTCCAGTTCTGATCTGCAGAGCAGCACCACCTTGCGACAGTTTGCCTCAAGCTCGTTCGGGCTGCACGCAAGCAACTCTGTTGCAATCGTCTTGCGCGTGGTGCAACGGGCATGCGGAGCACGGTGCAACAGCCACAGAAGCCGAAGTGGGTACCTGCAGGAGATGACTGAGTGAAGCTCACAGCTTCCAACAGAACAAAAAAAAGCTCAGCACATCAATCTGAAATCTTATGTGGAAGAAGTCAACGCACACAAATCCTCGCAAGTGCACATTGCAATGCCACTGATAATGTGCATGTTGCCCCAAAGGCCTCTGCACAACAGAGACGATACGCCTGTGAAAGGAGCCTGCGCCGTGGACCACAAGCTTCAAGGCAAAGGTGCGAACCAACTGAGCAACTTCTTTTGGAAGATCTTGCGCATTCGCTTCCCGCACAGCCATCTCGTACCAATCCTCGAAGGACTCCAACAATTGGTTGTACTCGCTCATGAAAATGTCTGCCTGTCCTGTCACGAGGCGCTGCAGCATGCGCCGCTTGCTATATTTCTGTGCCCAGCAAAAGAAGTGAGTGAGTGGCTCACGGCTCTTGCTTCCCAGATGCAGCAGCAACCAGAACAAAGAGTTGCTAATCGCGGCCCATGTCCCTGCAGCCCATTTCGTCATCTTGATGCGATACTGCTCTCGATCATCCGAATCCAGCAAGGCCTCCGCGGACGAGGATTTGTCTGGCTTGCCTGCAGAGGTTGCAGGTGTGGCGTTCCCAGCTTGCTTGGCTGGATTTGCTTTCACATACTTGCTGAGCACACCAAGGAAAACTGGCTCGAGGAGCTTGCGCGAGCGCTGGATGTAAAATCTCTCAGAATCCTCGATGGAACCCCAGCGTCCAGCAACAAAAGCCAGAGGAAAGCGCCTGTACTTGACTGAGTCCGGGTCTGTATGCGGGGTCTTGGCAGAGGTCCCGTGCAACTTTTCCCAAACGTCGATGAAGTCGGAAATGTGGGAGCGCCAAAAGTTGGTTGCCTTTGCCAAGCTCGAGCAATAGCCTTGGAAATCACGGGTGGTTTCAGGATGGCTTTGTCGCAGCTCCACCAACATCGCGTCCATGAGCTGAAGACTCTCACGGACTATAAGGTGGAATTGGTGAAGCAAGCAATTGCAGTCAAAATACAGCACACAATCGACAGTGGCAAGGGCAGCGGCCACGTGGCGTCTTCGAGCAGTTTGATCACTTCCAGCATCCGTCGTGTCACAGTAGATAAAGACAGAGCGCTCTGTCAGCTTGCCTTGCCTTAAGTCTTTAGTAGCAGATACACAAAATAGGTTTTCCAACATATAATCGCCGTTCACTACAACACTGACAACACTATCGGCAACCCGTATGAGCAGAAAAGACCAAGCCACTGGCGCAAATTCGCAATCTTATGCCCGAAAGGCACGCCCAACGCCTGCAGCTGCTTGACAACCAAAGCCAGCACGTCGAAGGCAGTTGCATCATTGTTGATAACCTGCAGGTCTGACCTCAGCATCCGACTGCGCTTCCACAGACATGAGCAACATTAAAAAAACAACATAGGGGGGAAAGCAAGGATGTCAAGCGAGACTGCACGAATGCGGCCTCGGCAATTGCAAACGGCAAACCGCAAAACATCTGCTTGAAGTCGGCAACAAGGAACACACAATGCCTGCGCACAGTAGCTTCGTCGAAGTTGCCTTCACGGAGCTTTTCAAAGTCCGACACATACAGAACATTTGCTTCCAGAACGTGAAGCTTTTTTCTCCTCCAGATGGCAGCATTTGTCGCATCACAGCGGTACCCAACGCCAAATAAAGACCAGTCGTCGTTCTCCGCTGACACCGCAGATGCCGATTCCAACGCGAGCCCCAATCCGTCCTGTACGAAGAGCTGCATCAGTCTCACGATCCCTGCTCCTGTCAGCAGCTCGCTGCGCAACACAGTCTGTCGGCTGATGTCCACCATGTTGATGATGCCGAAGTCGCTGGCAGCGACATTCGTCAGACATCGACGAAGTCCGATGGAAAACTTGCTGGACAACGAAAATCGTCCAGCTCTGCCAGCACGCTGCTTGCCCAATTTCTGGATGGCAAACAGCTCAGGCTTCTTCTGAGCCTTCATCTTCGTGATCGCTTTGGTCTTAGCTGCAGCCGCAGTAGCAGCCTTTTTCTTCAGTTGCTTCTGACTTTTCATCAGCACGTCGATGCGGCTTGATTGCCGTCGCAGTTCTCCCTCTTGCTTCAAGCACAATTGCACCAATGCCCGGTGCTCCATGCCTGAGAGTTCTTTGTGATGCGCTTCGTAAGCAACCAGATCAGATTGCTGCTGCACAGGGTCACGGGCCACCGCAGCCCGCTTCCGTGGCCGCCTAGCCACGGCTTGGCTAGACGCGTCTGCTGGATTTGCCAACTCCAAAAGTGGCACCACGGGATCAGATGCAGCCGCGGCTGAAGCTGAAGAAGCTAAAGCAGAGGCATCTGCACCCCCATCTGTGCCTGGAACGTCCGCAAGCGGAACGAGTCCCGAAACTTCCACAGCATCATCTGCATCCACATCGATAGGCCCCTGCGCTTGCAGAATTGAGGACAACGCCACATCGAGTCCCAATGCCCGGCTTACTTGCGTAACCTCGTAGACACTAATGAACGCATCTCGCCAACTTGATGCTGAAGCCACAGACCTTGGTTCCGTGGCAGCCTGGCGCCAAGCTTCATGGATCCGACGACGTGCAGCAGCCAACTGCCAGCCACGATTCTTCAGAACACCCACGAAAAAGTCAGTGGCCTTTTCTTTTGGGACAACTTGTTTCCCCTCAACCTCCAACGACTGCAAACGAATGAAGCTGCTCAGCGCATTTGCACAGAGGACAGACATCCACAAGCGAAGCCATGGCAATATCATAAAACTGTCGTCTTTCCAGCCTACACTTCTCCTAACAAGCATCACCACTTCCCGTTTTGGACGTTGCCCCGATGCTGCTACAACCGACAGCCACAAATTTGTAGCTGATGGAACGTCACTTTTTTGGGATGCTCCTCAATGTGCGGTGCATCACATGACCTCAATGGAGCTAAACCTTGGACAAGCATCACTCAGCGAAGGGAGAACTTTGAAGGTCGAGTTTATTTCTTGGAGCATCAGCAAATATGAACATTAACCTGCAAATTATTGCAAAAGATAAGAAAAGCCCACCTAATATCCAAATATTGCTTGCATCGCGCCATGCCTTAGATACATTGTCTGGGCCCACGAAAATGATGATGCACGTGGTCGTCGGCCTGCTAATATGCAAAAGGACGCTTGATATGTTCAGCTCACTTGACTGAAATCGGGACCACAATTGCAAACTCATACTGCCAGAGACATCCCAGATCTTTATGTGCAGGCTGCAGAACTACAATCGGTATGGCTACCCAGGCTGCCCCGTGAATATCTATCCCCCTGGCCCCTTCGCGCCCCTAGGCCCTACGTTTGGAGGCCAGTGGGCCTTCTAATCCTAAACCCTAAACCCTCGACAGTAAATCCTAAACCCCTAAACCACAAAACCCGAAATCTCCGTAGACCCGACCCCGAAACTCCAAGCCGAGATCCTGACATTCACGCTCACGGTCCATGCAATCATAGACTATACCGGTTTCGGTTATACGCTTCGGCCTTCAAGTAGTCTATATGGATACTTTAGGGCCTAAGTACAGACCAATGGGGTACATGGACCCTTAGGGTGACAAGATCTGTAGTCAAACTTAAGCATTAAAAAGTCCTCGACACCAAAGGCCCTCGTCACCATGTCCGCCCTAATGGAGTGCTCCAGTAACAACATATGGGGTTTTCCGAAAATAGGGGACCCTATTATAGACCCTAAATAGAAGGATCCTTAATATAAGGACCCCAAAAGAAGGTTTCCTCTAGTCTTCGGAAACTCCCGTTTTTTGGGGTTCGGGGGTATATCAGCTTCTATCCTATGTCAACGACGAGATGCCGTTCCTCAGCGCACCAGTTCGGATCACAACATGGTCCTCGTTGCCCAAATGTCGAGTCTATAGAGCTTAGGGCTTATGGTTCTGGGTTTAGGGCTTCGGTTTTGTTAGGATCTAGGTTTAGGAAGTTTTCGTTCGGGGTTTAGGGTTTACCTGAACCCCAAAGAGCCTGTTTTTGTTCCTAGGATTCCTGACTGTGACGTCCTGACATAAATCCGTAGAAAAAAGGTAGGTTTTAGGGGTTGCAGTAGGGCTTACATGTTGCTTTGTTGTTTCTTTGTATTGTTGAAGTCAGCTTTGTAACTTTACCCCAAGGGTCCAAGTACCTAATAATCGTATACTCTCCAAAACCCTAACCTACATATCTACTATCCTAAAACCGAGTACCTAATTATTAGGTCCTTTGGACCGTAGGGTTTAAAGTAAAAGCCAGGAAGTTGGAATATGATTATCCTAAACCCTTTATGGCAAATTATAGGGGATCCTACCATTAATCCATATTCCAGCTTTCTGGAGTTCCCTGTGTGGTACAAGGATGTTCGAGGGTAAGGGTTCCCAGCGGCTCCAATGTTCTGCTAGAAGCCCCGAATTAACAGAACCTACCGGAACCCTACATGAAGGCTCATGGGACTTAGTAGCCAGGATTATAATTAGGGCAACCATACTTAGAACTACTTAGAACTCCAGTATTAAGGTACTTATAACCGTAGTTACTAAGTCCCAGGACCCTCCAAGTAAACCCTAAGGCTCCAAATAGCCCAAAGTAGGTACCATGTATAGACTTTAGTACCCAAAGTAGGTAGTATTTGTATACTTGGAGTTTTAGGGTAAGGAACCTATCTCTTAAGGGCTCCATATGATGATTCCTTTATGTAGGTCCTTAAAGACTAGCTCTTTTCGGGGGGGTCCAGGGTAACCCTAAACCTTAGGTTACTATCCCAAGGGTTCAAGTACCCAAGTAGTAGGGTGTTAGGTCTCAAATCCTATAATCTGGATGGTTTTGGGCACCTAGAACCCTGCCATGTGCACTCGGCCCACCAGGGTATGCTATATCTAATTCTAGAGAAGGGGAACCTACTGAGTATGCAGACATGCTACAGCTATAACTGGGCTCCTATTGGGTCGATTCCCGTCGGAAGCTGATGGTCGAGAGCTTTCTGAAATCCATAAAACCTCGCAGTCCTAAAACGTAACACCCCGAAAAATCCCAAACCTAAACCCCAAACCCAACACCCCTAAAGCCCCCTCAACCCCAAACCCCAAACATCCCCAAACCCTGAACCACAAGCCCTGAACCCTAAACCCGTTACACCCCAAACCCTAAACCCTAAACCCCTAAACCCTATAGATCCCTTATAGAACCCCTATAGATCCCTTTAAAGGAACCCTAAACCCCTAAACCACAAGCCCTGCACTCTCGAGCCAGGGCGGAGCGCCTGGTAGGTCTCCAGCAAGCCCCCAGATTGGGCATCTTCCCTCTTGAGGTAGTTTACAGCCTGGGTTTAGAAGGCTTATAGGTGTTTCAGGGGTTCCTTTAAAGGGATCTCTAAAGGTTCTACTTGAGATCTATAAGGGTTTAGAGCTTAGGGTGTTTATTAGGACTTCGTTTAAAGGGATCTGTGAAGGTTCTACTTCCCTCGACCCTATTGTAGAGCCCAAATACCTGAACCCTAAGGGTTTAACTAAACGGTTTAACTAAGGTTTAGGGTTTCGGTTTAAGGTTTAGGTGTAAGGTAAGAACTGTAAACACTATAAACCCTACATGGGGCTTACATCCCAAGGGTTAATCTGGCAGTCGGACCGTGGATGCTGACAAGTGCAGGTCTCAGAGCTTCCCGGAGTGACACACTGATGACTGTAAGGCTTTTCCTTTGAGTATTTGGGTGGTTCTCCAAATGAGGGTCCCTTTTAGGGTCCTTTTTATAAGGATGCCGTACTAGATGTATGGTAGGGACTTAGAATGGGACCCTAGTTCAGAGAACTACCCATATACAGCTAACAATAAAGGTTACGAGAAGGGGTTCCGGTAAGGGCTCTCTGCTAGGGTTTAGGGAGTTCGGGTGCGCAGCCTCAGGTCGAATGTTCGCAAAGCCTATACCATGGCTCAACATTAAGTTTGCAGACTTACAATGCCTTACAGGATTAGGAGGGGTTGAAATTAAGCTAAATACATGGGCCCCAATTAGGGTACTTGCACTAAGCTCCCTGATCCTCCAAGTAGTCAGCAAGAGTCTTACTGGTACGTTATAAACCTCACAGAGAGTTTCTCTATAACAGTTTGAGCTGATACAAAGTTACGGGAAAACCGGGAGGTCTGTCTGCATAAGGATTTAAAGTTGAGTTTAAAGGGTTCTCAGGGGGTGGATGAAATATGCATGGGGTTGGCTATGGGTATGTTCACTGAGTTTTCCTCCCGCTTCGAGACACACACACACACAAACACACACACAACCACACACACACACACACACACACACACACACACACACACACACACACACACACACACACACACACACACACACACACACACACACACACACACACACACACACACACACACACACACACGCACACACCCACACACACACACACACACGCGCAATGCGCACACACACAGACCTTATCACTTCTGCCTAAATCAGTTACTGTCGTCTTCTGTGAGTATTTCGTGTCGATTGACCAAACCTCCTATTAGCTGATGTAGAATCTGTAGAAGCCGTGTAGAACCCTTATGGTGGCTGCCATCCGGCATAAGTCAGAAGGCAAGCACCTTAGCTCCAGTGAACTCTTCAAGGACGAGATCCAGCATGGTCTAGGCTTCCCTTTTTTAAGGGCCAGTACCCAAATAGCAGGGTGTTAGGTAATACGAACTGCTTTAACGACCTGTGAGCCCTAAACCTACTACCTCCTATTTGGCTACTGGGATCCTTAGGGCTAAAACAACAACAGATTTCCCAAGGACACCAGTCTGGAACGGGCACCCGTTGCATTCTGTCTGAGAGTAGGGGTATTGCTTTAAGGCTCTAAGAACTCATGTGTTTGAGGCTCTTGGGCCCAAAGACCATAATATGCAAGGCTTTTTGGGCTAGTTATGTTGAGCACCAGGGTGTTCAGCGCTGGCAAGTCACGCCCCAAGACGGATCATGCGTCACAAAGGTCCAGTCCTCTGAAGGGTTTTGGCCCGAAGCCCCACGGCCCAAACACTCAGAATACAAAGCGTCGAGACACCCAACCCCCCGAGCCTGAACACGCTTGAAACGATCCTACCAACGTTCGGGCTCTAAGCTCCAAGCACAAAACCCCAAACCTAAAACCTCTAAACCCTAAGCGGTTGCTACTCATTGTTTAATTATTTATTACTGTAAGCCAATCACTAATGCATGCCCTCCCTGAAGACCTGAAGAAGATCTCTTGTCGGGATCCGAATAATTATTGAGGCCCCTGTCGGAAAGGGCTCCAGGTCTCCTTGTAGCCCCTTTTAAAAAAGTGCGAGGACCCTTTTCCCTACTCTAAGGTTTTAAAAAGCCCTAGGGCTCCAGTTACCTGAATAGTAGATTACTGGAACAATTAGGGGTAATTACATATTATATGGTTAATAACCTACTATTTAGGTAACTGGAGCCCTAGGGAAGAAGAGCCCGAAACAAAGAAGGGAAAAACATGCCCGCAGGGAGACTTGGGGCTGTTTGATCGGGGGACGGCGTTGGGACTCAAGGGATCTATAGGGTTTAGGGTTTAGGGTTTTGGTATGGGGTATTCATAAAGGTTCTATAAGGGTCTAGGGGTACTCAAAGGGTCATGGGACTTAGCAACTAAGCTTCCTGAACGGGCTCCTTTAAGGAATCTATATGGGCTATGCATCACGGTTCTACAAGGGTTCTCGTGGTACTTACA